GTGCACGGGGCAGACCACACCTGTGCCCGTGCCCCAAACTACTTACCTCTTCCGGAACGAATCCCACCATCTCGCCCCCGTGACCTGAGCTACCGGGCGTGAACCCCGTGGAGCACGCACCCCGCCGACACGAGCAGCCCCGCCCAGGCGTCAGCACAACTACTCCGAGAGCCTCTGTCTCATGACAGCAGCTGCCAGGCAGACGGGCTGCCCAGGACAGCGCTTTCCGCGCCACAGCTCCGAGAGCACCCGACGCGCCGGTGAGCAGGTCCAACCCGCACGAAAGGGGTGTCTGAGCTGCAGTGTCCTGAGGACGTGCACGTCCACTCGCTAGGGATGTTCCCGCCCAGAAGGCCGCGTCTCCTTTGCCGACTCTAACCCGTTCATTCTACGTAACTAGAAAGGACGACGGTGTTCCAGGAGACAGAGCCGCGCTGTAAAGCAGTTCTATCAGATGATCTCGGGGGCTACTCCCAGGCCCCACCTCGGGAGTGAGCTGTCAGCAGCCGCCAGCCCAGAGGCGTCACCCACCTGGCTGGGGTCTCCGGAGTCGCACGCCTTCAGCACCACGAGGCCTCCCTTCTGACTCGGGCGGCCCTGGGCCACCAGACACTTGCTGGTCTGGAGGTGATAGAGCTGTAACGAAGAGGCTGCACTCACAACCCGCACCAGGGAAGGACAAGGCCAGCGGCCCCCTCGTGCTAGAAAAGGAGGCTGGAGGGGCTGTCCGTCAGAGGAGGGAGGGCGGGAGCCCCGAAGCCAAGGAGACGGCCCTTTACTGCGTCCGCGCGCGCATCGCACAGAATCTAATCCTGTACCAAGACACACAGAAGCTGACTAATCCACAAGGAAGAAAATTAAAACCTCTGCCCCGAAGAGCCTAAAAGTGAAATCCAGGAAACAAGAAAGGCAGAGCCCAGCACCACCCGTCCGTGCAACACCCGCGCTGAAGCGTCGGGCCGGGGCGGTGGGGATTTCAGCCGAGGACACACACGGTCTTTAGCCTGGAGGAAGGGGACGTTTTGCTCCACTGCCAGAGGAGGCAACTCCCTGAAAGAGCCTTGGGAAGCATCGTCTCCGTGACAAGAGGAAACCAGACAACCCCAATACCCACACTCCACTTCAGAAGCCCAGTCTGAGGAGTGATGTAGGAACGTACACGTTCACGTCTAGGCCCCTAAAATTTACACGCGACGTGAAACTGAGACGTGAAGGGTGGGTCTCCGGCACTGAGCACCGAGGCTACTGGCACTGCCTGGCCGTGCCCGCCGCGCAGTGCCCAGAGCGGTGCCAGCAGTCCACAGCCGCCCGACTGTCTCGGCCACCCGCACGTTACCCCGACGCTCTGTACTTGCACGTGCGGACCACCTGTCTGCCTTCTGGGAAGCGAGCAATGACTCGCCCTCACAGAAGCCGCCCCCCGAGAGGACGGCGGGAAACTGCACACCTCGGCCGTGAACGCCGGGCGCCCACAGCGCCACTCACCCTTCCACGCCGCAGGACCTTGGGGCGTTTCGGCCCCCTGTTGACGAAAATGGGCTGCTGGGCTTGGCGTTGGGCCCGGACACCTGCATCTCTGGGTAAATGTTATCCAGGTACCACTTGAATGATTTACAGCCCAGCCGCTTCCTCAGCTCCACGCGCTCGCTGACATTTCCATAGCTCTTGGTCCTCAGGTCGGGCCTCAAGGAGAAATACTGTTCCTGGATTTAAAAAAAGTCAGATAACAGGCATTTTTTTGTTTTTAATAAATATTAGGTCATTCTATGCGAGGATTAAATATTATTTATGTCAGTGTTTTCTTAACATGGCCAAAAAATGTCCACGGAAAGCCTTCACGCAGCTGGTCATCGCCGACAAGGAAGATGGCGCTGAGATTCAGAAATGGCGGATACGCAGCGCCCACGTCAGGCCAGCAGGGTGGCTCCGGGAGCCAGGCAGGCCCGACTCTGGCCCCAGGGTCCCAAGGGTTTGTGGATGTGTCACGGCTGCTACTTTAGTAGAAGTTAAAATTGAAAACATCTATTCATTAAAAATCATAGACTTCCACGCCGCGACATAAATGCCTTCAACAAAAGTAAGTTTCTAAAACCAAAAACCTTTAGTGGCAACAGTGAGACCACTGTGAGCCTCTCCCATATCGGCAGAGAAACGTGGGGGGCGTCTTGGTCAAGGAGGAAAGTGCCTCACGACACGTAGCACAGCCGTTGCCCGACCTCGCAGGCCACGCCCTGGGCTGAGGCAAGACGAGGGTTACACAAGATCACCGTGGGCGACGGGACGCCCTCCGCCACAGCCACGACGGCTGCCCTGGCGAGGCAGGTGGAGGTTAGTGCAGGGCTGGGACACCGCCTTTTTGAGGGGTGAAGCATCACTGCTACAGGGCTGCACGTGGCGGGCAAGGTAAGACCCTGCTGTGCGAGGCCACAGGAGCGGGGGACCACGGGGCCCGGGTCTGTGGGAGTCACGCGCAGGACCAGGAGTAAACCAGAGTCTCCCCTGAGTCAACTGTGACCTCCCAGGGAGTGGCCAGTCGGGAAACTAGAGACTCGGAATGAGAGAAAAAGAGCAAAGGTCAAGCGGACACAAGCCAGCGTGCAGCAGCGGGTGGGCTGGCGGGCTGGCCCCGGCCTGCGGGAGGGAGCGCCCACGCACCTTGTACTCATCCAGCCAGACGTGCGCCAGCCTCAAGGAGTTGTGCGTCATCGTGTCCTGGCCTTCGGGAGAACCGTAGGGCCGCCGCTTCCGGAAAATGTGGCCCACGCGGGAGCAGGGGATGATGAAGAGCCTCCCGCCGCACATCCAGATCTGCCGGAGCAAGGGCCGTGAGCGCGCCCGGCGGCGAGTCTGTGGTAACAGGCGCTCAGGAAACTGCGGGGCTTCCCCTTGTTGGAGACGACTGCTCAGGTAAACCCAAGGGTAAGTCTAGCCCTGTCCTCTGCCCACCCGGGGCCAGAGTCCAGTTTCAGCAAAGCAGGAAACCTGATCTTCGGGCCCAGGCCAGGAGGCTCCCGGGCGGGTCCGCTCCGCGCACATCCACGCGTGCTTTCTACACAGGGCTGCGGAATGTCCAGAAGACCTCCAGGACCTCAGTTCTGCTCTAAAGTCTGTTCCTGACTCTGAGGTAACCTTACAGTTATTTCAATTAATTACCTTGAACTAATGATATCAATGCAACTTAAAAATGGTTAAGGATTACAGAGGAAAAACCGCCTTTGAAAAACTGGTCGGTACACACATGAAAACAGAAGACGACACGTGTAGACAGGCGCTGCCGGCGTGAGCACGCCTGCAAGGAGGCTGTGAGACTGTGGCCCACCCCTCCCAACCCCCCGCCAGGGCCCCACTCCCCTGCTGCTGGCCCAGCCTCGGCAACCGCAGAGATTGTGGGAGTGATTTTCTTCCCCGGGTTGGGGGTTCCTGTGCCTGCGAAGGATTCAGCAAGCCATTCATGGGGTGCTGACAGGCTTGCCATGTACACTAGGCTACTTCTGCGAGGGAAATGGGGGGTAACAGTTGACCAGAGCGGGCGTGAACCTGGGCGGTGCTGGGCAATCTGACACACATGGACACGCGTGTTTTCAGGATTATCCAGTAGGACAAACTGATGAAGAACAAAGCTCTAGATTACTTGCCTGCTGAAACGTCCCGCACCCGCAGCTACCACTTTATCACAGCTCCTTGCCTCTTAAAGGTTACAAAGCTAAGGCTTCCTGTACGCTTGTGCCATCCCGTGGGGAAGTGGCATTCGTTACGGGCAATTTGTCACAGAGGGTTTACAGAGGACACGGCCCCTTGGACGCAAATTCTATCCCACTGAACACACAGTAAGTGAACATGCAAAAAAATTACCCGAAATGATATTTCTAAATTTTCTCCTCCCCAGATATCCATGCCACTGTCATACTGCCCAAGCTCACTGAAGTAGTGCCTGTTCATGGCGAACAGCCCTCCAGCCATCGTGGGTGACCTGGAAAAGGAGAGGCGCGCTGTACCGACCCCGCAAGGCCAGCCGGCTACCTGGTTCCTTCCAAAAACTCAACACAGCTGGGACACCCCCGAGGCACATTTCATCTACTGCCGGGGAACGCGCTGGCCACCAACTGCGTTTTCTAGATCACGACGACACACCAGACCCCTGGCAGAGGAAGGCCACTTTCCTGACAGAAATTCACCTGAAATGAATCACTCAGCGCCTCTTGAGAGTCCAGTCTCAGAACCGCTGGAACCAACGGCCCCACGGGAGACCTGGCGACGTGTCCACACTTGGAGATGGACTCAAGTGTGTGGCAGAGGCCGGTTCTCAAGAGTCTGCCCTCTAGCGAACAGCTACCATCGGGGCACAACTGGGTAGGGGTGCTACTGCATCTGAAAGGCTGAGGCCAGGGACGCGGCCCAAGAACCACCTGGCTCCCGAGCCACCCCGGACAAGGGCACAGATGACGTCTCTGTCTTCATTCTTTCCTCGGGACTTGCCTGAGCGCACAGGGCTCGGGAAGCACTCATTTTCTGCGGACGAACTAGGCCAACACCGTGGCTCCTTGCAGAGGAGGAGTTACTCCTAAAATACGTTTTCTCTCGCGGCAGTCCCAGTGGGACCTGCAGACAGAAGGGGGTCTTACTTGATCGGTGCAGTAGCTCCTTCTGGCCCCCCAAGCTCGGAGAGGGGGACGAGGTCCCACTTGAAGTGCAGTCCCCAGTTGAAGCCGCCGCGCACCACAGGGGACGAGCTGTAGGCCAGGGTGTCGGCGCTGATGATGTCGATCACCGGGCACACGACGGTCTGCCGGTCTTCACGGATGGCTGCCAGCAGGGGCTGCAGCCACATCACGTTCACCTCACAGTGGCTGTCCAGGAACACCAGGACGTCTCCTGGGGAGGCAATGGACACCGACCCCATCAAACCCTCCCTCGCTGCCTCTTCCGGGGTCTTCTTGCCAGGAGGGACGGGAGCAGGCGCGGCCACAGGCCCGCCCCAGCACAGACCGGCCGCCCTCCGTTGGAGAAGCACCCCGGGAAGGAAGTCATACCTGTCGCGTGTGCGGCTCCGATCATTCTGCCTCGAATTAACCCCTCACGCTTTGTGTTTCTTATCACTTTAATTTTCCCAGGGAGATACTTCTGGACATACTCATCGAGTTCTCCCTTCAGATCGTCTGCAACAGAGAGCCCATCATTGGTCAAGGCACAGAGGCACAGAGTTCACAGCTCCTCTCACACTGCATTTGGTTCTTGTAGCAACGAACTGCCAAGTCAATACTGAAGAACCTTGTGCTTTATTTTAAAAGGCCAGTGTAGACGCGCCCGTAAGGAAGAGAAAGGAGAGAAGTGACGGGGCGGGCCGGAGCGCCTGCCCAGAACCGCTACCTTCTCCGCTCACTTGCACTGTCCGAGCAGCTGCCCCCGGGCGTAAAGGACATCTGAGGTGAGTGTGTGTAGCGAGCGGGCCGCAGACCACATGAGAGTCGCGGCCCAAGAGGAGCCACGCTGTGTCTTTTATGGTCAAATGACGTGTGACGTTCACTGGACACCAGCTCTGCTGTGGACGAGAGCGGAGGCGTGGGGAGCAGGAGCCCGGCACGTTGTAACCTGCCCCCCTCAGCTGCGGTAGTGAAGAGCGCGGGGCCGGGCTCGGGGCCAGGGGCCTCTTCCAGCTCACGCGCAGCTGCACGGGACCGGGAGCAAGTCCCTTAGCGCCTGCACACGTGAAACGGGGGGCCAGTAGCTCTCGCAGGGCTGCCGACAGCTGAATGAATAGCGTCAATGAAGCCCCTTGCTTCCTGTGGTGTGTACATGAAAGCGTTCTGAGGAAGGATCCATGTTACGGTGAAGAAAGGTGTGTAAGACGTGTGTGGAATCACCAACTCTCAGACTGAAGGGCTGTCGGAGCACGGTCTGGGGAGAGCAGGCATGAGGCCACATTCCAAGACGCCACGCACAGAGTCAGGGCGAGGAGAGTGGGGTGATCTAAGGGGCAGCCGCTACCCAGATGGCAGGGTGCTGGCCAAACCCACGTCCGGGGTGAAATGACGGCACCCTGCAATCTCTGCCTGCACACTGCAGGCTGCTGACCTCAGAGGGGAACACGGGGGGACACCAGGTGCAGCGGCACCCCGACCTCTTTGTGACTTCCTGTGAGCTGATACGACTTGGAAACAAGGTATTTTTTAAAGGTCAGCCAAGGGGAAAATTTTCAGGGCCAAATTTGGGTAGCAGTTTGTAAGCAGAGGAAGAAACCATGCAGTTTCTTCGAAATTAACCTGAAACCAATGAGCAGGCGTCGACCCGCGGGTGGTGGCTCCGCTGGGGTCACGCGCCCCACAGAACGGGCAGCGCTGCGGCGGGTCCGCCCCGGAGGAGGCCAGCCACCAGACCCCGCGACCCGCAGGCCCCTCACCGAAGTCGCTGTCATCGTCCACGAGGATGACCTCCCGCAGCAGCCGGGCCGGCGTGCGGTCCAGGACGCTGTGCACCGTGCGCAGCAAGGCCGACAGGGCCTCGTTGTAGAAGCAGATGACCACGCTGGCCACGGGCAGGTCCGCCGGGTAGGCCTTGTCTCTGCACCTGCGCGCACACACCAGAAGATGCCAACAGTTGAAAAGGCCACATGTCCCAGCCTGCCACTCGGCTTATTTTCAAGTCAACATTAGAAAAACGAACCTCTCTTTTCTGGTGTACCCGCCGTACAAATGTGTTCTGCTTATGGAAGTTATTACATGTTTTCCACGGAGCCCTGGGGCTGACGTTCAGCTTCTCAATCGTTTCAACAGCAAGTAACAAATATAAAGCTCTGTGTTTTCAATTTTTATTTTGCTCACTAGATAAGATGGATGACCCCAGGTAAGCAGCCCTTGGTAAGGCGCCAGCTGGCTTCAAGCAACAGCAAACCAGAGCTGCGTGTGCTCCGGGCACCCGAGCCTCCCGCCCTGCCTCCTGCCCTCCCCTACAGCCCTGCGAACTGTGCGAGCCCGTGACAAGCTATGGGGGTTTCGGCCCCAGTGCTACACCCCACACAGCGAAAAACCAACGAGCCACCCAGCTCCACTCAACCTCGCCCTCGGGGAAGCCTCCCGCTCTGGCTTTGGGTCCCCAGCTCGCCAGCTGCCAGCGGAGCCCTCACCCTGCGCCCGCGCCGCCACCTCCCCCATCAGACTTTTAAGTCCTGGGGATGCAGGGACCACCTCTCCCATGTCCTTCAGGCCTAGCAGAGCATGTAGCAAAGAGAAGATGCTCACAAAGGCCTGTGTGGGGATGGCTGACTGACCAGCCGCGCAAATAAAGAGCCTCTGAAGAAACGAAACAGAAAGTGAAAGGAGTAAAATGCGCTGATTTTAATTCCCTGTCACAGACACGTGCTGGACACCGAGCGTACACGCAGGGGCTCCTTTTAAGTGCAGGGAGCACTTCTCATTCCACGAACTTTAATCTTTTTTAAAGATGTATTTATTTGTGCATAAAGAGCTGGGGTGCAGGTCAGAGGCCTGGGGTGAGAGGATTCCCCAGAGACAGAGCGGGGAGCAGAACAGGCAGACTGACTGAAATCCAGTGCTGAGCGGAGCAGCGGGGAGACAGGAGAGGTCTGCTGCGCCCTGAGGCTCACTCCCTGGCTGGGGATGGAACTCGTGCTGCAGGGGCTGCGGACAGCTTCACAGCGCTGAGACTTAACCCCTGCGTCACCAAGGAGGCCCCTTGTCCCACAGTCTTAAATTTCCAAAGCCACACAGCAAGCTCTGAGGCCTCTGGTTCCAGCATGGCAGGGGGCAGCCTAAGCGGGCCCGTCTCCCGAGCCATGGAGGCTGCTGCCAACAGCACCACCCTCTCGCCTGGCGCGCGGGCCCGCAGGGACGGGAAGCATACTCTGCACTCCTGGTGTCCGGCACATCTCTGTGGTAGCCCAGGCGGTTGCTGACAAGCACGTTGAAGGCATGCTTCTGATAGCCCAAGTCCCTCAGCTCCTGGTCACGTTCACTGAAAATCATGCCTGCAGGAGAGCAAAGGCGCAGTCAGAGGCAGCCCCGTGGCAGGCGACCCCGCCAGTCCGGCAGCAGCAGGCTCTCGGCCCGGGTGGCCCCCGCCTTCTAAGGGCAGCAGACCCTGCAGCAGTCTCAGTGGAAAGACCTTAGGGATAAACGTACCTTAGGGATAAACGGCCCCGGCCCACCAGGCACGATCTTACGAGTATTTTCTTCCACAAAAACTACCATCTAATCCATGTGGACTCACAGGCCACAAGTACAGGCGAGTTTTGAGATGAACCTCTCCCCTAAACAAGACCGTTGAGAAACCTTTCTGATGAAAGTCCAAGTCCGGTCTCGGATTAACCTCCCGGGCAGGAACCCCTGCACAGGCTAACCCTCTCCCTGTCGTGAACATTCTTGCTCCAACGGTTCCGAGACCGTCAGAAAGAACCCCTTCACAGGGCGTGAGACTGTCTCCTCGTCAACATAAATAAAAGCTGCTGGCACCCAACACCCAGCGTGTCTGGCACAAATCAGATTATCAATTAATACTCCTCGGTGCATCAGTTTCCAAATGGGGGCCTCGCTCCTACGGAATTCGGGAAGATCAGCTTCTGATAAAGATGTCCTGAGAAAAGATTCTTGTTACAATGTCACGTTCTGCCCGGCAGATGGCGTCACCTGCGCGGCGCGCTGCTCTACCCTGAGAAAGGAACTCTGCCGAGCGTGCCGCGGACGGGCCTGGAGGGCGCTCTGCTGACAGTCAGGTACAGAGACCGTGTCTCGTTTATGGGCGGGTTTTACGAAAAAACTGAACTCGGCGGCTTTCACACCGCAGCGGGGCGGCCCGCAGGGCGGAGGCAGCACCACCGCATGGTGCGGTCCGACCGCCGCGAGTCACAGCGACACCGCGCGCGTTGGGGGAGATCCCGAGCCCTCCCCTCAGCCCTCGGCGGTGTCCCGCGTGAGCTGGGACTGAACCCCGGGGAAGGCCCCTGGCTTATTCTCGCTGCCCGCTCAGGGGAGGGCACGCCCGAGCCCGGCCAGCCCCGGAGGAGCCGCTTCCACTGTCTGTCAGTGACTGCGGGTTGGAGCCGAGAGGCCACTTTCAACTTTCCGTTGGCTGTGGCTCATCGCCGCAGCGCGCTGCGCACAGGCTGCAGGGGCTCGACTCGGCTCACTTACCCCGAACGTAAAATGTTCGCAGAGAGGGCTCGAGGACTACAGTGGCAAAGACATGCACGGGGGGTTCTTGCTTCCGAGTGTAACTTTTTGAGAAAAAAGTTTATTTTGCACTAAGATTTCATGAGTTTTCACACACGCTCTGTCCCAGACCTCAGGGGTAAGTGGTCATCTTACTGGCCGCGAGCCCTCTGTTCTCTGCTCCGCGTTCTGCTTTCCTTCACTCGGCCTCTCAGGTCATGTTACAAGCCAAGTCACCTGTCAACTATTTCTTCCCTTTGTTAAATAATGCCGGCAGCTAGCATCTTCGGCCACAAGCTCCATTTTCCTTCCAGCCACTTGACTGCTCGTTTCCTCCCGGGGACCCGAACAGGCCGTCAGACCTGGACACGCCAGCTGTCACTCGCCACTAAGTCTGCAGAAGCCGCAGGACCCCGCCAGAGCACGCGAGCTAGATCCGCGGGGAAAGCGAGGACAGGCTCCCGCGGCCGCGCAGCGCGGGACTCAGGGGCGCTCCACCCGAGCAGCACCCGCACTCACCCAGCTCGGAGAACTTCACGCCGCCTCTCGCGGGGTCTCCATCCGCCGGCGCGCCGTCCACTCTGCCGGCTTTGAACTGCGACTCTAACACTCGACCGGGACCCCGAGTGAAACGGGGGTAGATTTTTTTGGGGAATGGCCCGTGGGGCCCAAACCCCTTGATGGGCACATTCTTAAGTGGCTGAGTCACTTCACTGAAGTTGAAATAGACAAAAAGCAGAACGGTCCAGGTGGCCGAGGTGAAAAGGCATCCGTAGCAGAAGTAGCGTGCGGTGACGCTTCCCATCCTAGACCTAGCTTCGCGGGGGGGCCATCTTCAGTTTCCTGAAAGAGAAGGGCAGGCGGTGAGACACCCCGTGATCCGCGAATCACTCGCCCAGTCCGCAGCCGGCAAGCCCAAGCCACAGGGCAGCGCCTGAGCCGATCCCCAGCAGTGCGCCAGGTCACTGAGCAGAAAAAGAAGGGACTCAACAACGAAGCCTCAGGCCCGCGGGTCGGCGCCCGGCAGACCAGGGACGGACCCTTCTCCATCCCCGCAGGCTCAGGCGGGTCCTCCCTCCCCGGGCTCTCACCGGCGCGGGCCATACAGCCGCTACGTGGGGCGACAGGCCGTCCTGGTCCTTTCACCGTGACCCTCGGAGCCTCCCTTACCCCCAAGGGTCGTAAAAATCTATTAAAAACAAGCAACGCGATAAAATCGTTCCATTTCCCGAGCAAAGATTAAACCCGCTGTGACGCCTGCTCTAGATCCAGCGGTTACATTTCAAAAGCATAATTAGAAGAGTTCAAATAAGTCCATCGTCCTTCTTAGATGGCCCCAAATAATGAGCTGAGCAGCAGCACTGCCCCGAGGCACCCCGGGCGCCCTCCGAGGGCGCGGGGCGCAGTCTCACTCAGCAGGCGGGCAGAGGCGCGCACAGGGCTGCGGACGCGCAGGAGAAAGCAACCTAGAGAGCCACGCCATGCAGACAGCCTCTCTGCAGGATGATCCATCCCCAATCAACATCCAGCCACTCTCCCTTCAGAAGCTGAGCAGTTTTATAAAGCAGTCGGTAAACAGCTCAGTTCCTTGACTGTCTACTGCCCAGTCGTAGTGACCTCGCTGATGCGGTGCAGAAGCTTAAAAAACAGCACTCGAACTAAAGTCTGCCCCACGGTACACCAGAGGCTGCTGGAAAAGACTCCAGCGCAAAGAAGGAGGGGGAGGGGGAGCCGGCAGCGCCAGCTCGGGCGTTCTTCACGCGGGGGCAGCCCGGCAAAGCAGACCGTGCGTGAGAAGACGCGTCCCCTGAGCCAGGGGAAGGGCCCTCCCGCAGAGGGAGAGACAGCAGCGCCGCAAAGAACGCAGAGCAGCGTTCAAGTGAACCAGGTTTCACCTAAAACAGCCGTTGTTAGTTCCTAAAAGATCCGCTTGGGGAGTAGGCAAATAAACAACAAAACCAAAGCCTCCCCCGAGGCCAGGAAGCACCCCCACTACAAGGCTGTCCCCACGGGTGCCCGACCTCTTAGGCAGCGCATCCAGAGCCAGTCCCTCGCCTCCAGAACGGCTACTGTCCTCCCCAAAGCACCCCAGTCCCTTCGCTTCCATTGTGGCCTCCTTGACCCTGAGAACGGAATGGAAGGGAGCCAGAGCAACAGGCTCCGAGAGGGCGGCAGGCCAGGCAGTCCCTCCCCCGACACAGCAGTCAGAGGACACGCTGTTGGGCTCCCGTATCCCTGGGCCCCAGCCCCAGCGCACTGGGTGGTGTCCAGAACCCTTCAAACCAGCTTCAAAACCTCTAGATTCATGCTCCCCCTAAGTCACACGCCCCACCCGATCTCACCAAAACTGGGAGAATGACAGCTTCAATTTTAAATCCAAATCCTTCCACCACCACCGGCTGCCCAGCTGTGCCCTCACCCTCGGTGCCCTGTCCTTCCCGCCACAGCACGTCTGCTCCCAGCCTCCCTCCCGGGCCAGAAGCGACGCCCACGGCAGGGACGCTGAATGTTAGTGCTGAGGAGAAAAGACCACGCAGGCCGGTGCGGTGGGGGTGTGTGTGTGTGATTTTCGATGGGTTCTGGAGAGGCCCCTCGGCCAGGGTGACCAAGCTGAACCGAACAGCGAGCACCGCCCACCTTGGGACGGGCAGTGGGCGAGAGGGTAAAGTCCTCTCCTCCCCCCCAGGGGCCCACCCAGGCCCCGCCAGTCTACCTGGCACAGCCCCCAGGCCCCCAGCCCACCTCAGACCCCACCGTGACAAAAAGCGAGCTACAGAAATGAGGACACGCGCGGGGCTGCCCACCCGGAGCCCGAGCGCGAAGACGCTGCTTTTCAAAGCCAGTGGGTGACGCCAAAGCGCAGTGGACAGCCCTGGGTGGTCAAGTTAGAAAACACGGAACACAAAGCGATGAGTTAGAAAAATAAAACTGAATAAACTCAGTGAAATTAAAAGAACACTACCACGGTCAGGCATTCACAGAAAATGAAGATGAAACCGGAGGCCAAAGTCGATTCTTTAAAAGACCAACACAGGCACACCCCGGCGGCCCCAGCAAGCCCGGACAGCGCTGCGAGATGCGCAAGGGGGAGGAAACAGAGGCGCAGAGTAGGTAAAATGGACAAACGCGTAGAGAAACAGAAACGCGCGGTGCTGCCTGGAAATCCAGATGGCCCTTTAAGCTGCCTGAACACTAAACTAGCGCCGAGAACGTTTCCAGAGGGTTTTACAAGGGAGTTCTCGTGGACGAGCGCGGAAGGCTGACCCAGGCTTACAGAATGCCACTACAGAACAGTCTCCACCCCATTTCCGGAGGTTATTACCCTGGAGTCAAAACAAGGACAACAGAAGGGACAGATAATTTCAGAGACATTGTAAAAGTCTTGAAACATTAAAGCTGAAACCAACAATGTTTTCTTAAACACATCACGAGTAAGTGGCATTTGTGTCAGGAATACAAGGTGGGTCCAATTCGCGAACGATGCGTCACCCACTACATTACAAAACTGCACGAGAAACAAGGATTTGATCAGTGGAGGCTGTTCATTAAAATTCAACACTCCATGCTTAGCTAACTAGGAGGAGGGAAATCCTTAACCTGACAAAAAGAATCTCCACAATTCTTACAGCAACTTCTACCCGGTGATGAAATGACAAAAGATATTTCCTTAAAAGCAGGCGCAAGGATGCTCATCACGACCTGCATCAGACTGCCGTAAACGCACCCCTGGAGGCACCGGCTCCAAACACAGGCAGCCCTTCGTCCTGGGTGAGACACGCCCCGCCGGGACGGGCAGGTGCGGGGCCTGGGGATCCGGGCCCCGACGGCGACGCAGGAGACACGGCGAGGACGTGGCCCGGCCCGCTGCGCCCGGTCAGACACCTCCGCCTCCTTCCCACCCACCGTGTTCCCCGCGCACCTCCCGGCTGGCGGCCGGAGGCCGACAGTGAGCGGGGACGCCCCGCGGCCCGTGACATGAAGAGTCCATCTTCCCCGCGCGGAGCGAGGCTGACTTTCGCCGTCCACTCACGCCACCCCTCGCCCAGCCCAGGGACCGGCACACAGAAGGTGCCGAAAAGATCTCCAGGATGAATCTGGTAGAAACTCAATTGTTAACGTTTTCCTCCTCCTCCAGGTCTAAACGGAGTGCAGGATGCGAATGGACACGCGCCCGCCGGCCCTCGCACGCCCTCCCGCCCCGCCGGTAACCCGCACCCCCATCACAGCGCCCAAGGCCCACGGCTTCCTCTCCGCCGTCCCACACGGGGCTCCTGTGTGTCACCACGTGTGTCGCTCACACTCCCGACTACGGACTGTGCCCCAGTTCTTCCCTCTGCCCAGGACACTTTCATTCCAGCCGACTTCCCCCAGCAGGACCTTGCCTGAACCCCGCCTTCTCGGCCGAACCCGAGTAGACTGCGGCGGTCAGAACGGGAACGCAACCACCCGTCTCCTCCGCTCTCCCCTACGCCATGCGGCCAGCCAGCGCCCTGGCGCCCGCCCCGACTGCCTGCCTGCGGGAGCGCAGGCTCTGGGGGCCCCGAGCTGGGGCAGTGGCCGGCACACGGCAGACGCTGAGTCGGAGTTTGCTGAAACCGGTGGAAACATGTACCCTCCACGGCTGTCGACGTGCGTGCCGGGCAGGGCCTAAATGCGTGCGGGGAAATCCTGACTCCCTCGTCTCGACAGCACTGTCAGGAGGAGGAGGGCGGCTCACAGGCGCGGAGAACAAGCTTTCGCTGTCCAGTTTCGCTCATTCAACCAAGTTCTCTGTGATAAAGCGGGAGGCTGCGTCCCACCTGCTCCCTGACCTGCTCTCAGGTTCCCTCCGCAGCCGGCCCCTAGGGGCCAAAGGAAACACTTTTCCCCTCAAGATCTCACCCAAAGGACTTGGCCAACTCCGCGCAGCTTCCTCACAGAGCCCGGCCCGGGTTATCCTCCCTGCAGTAACTCCCTATCAAGAGTCCTTGGTCCTTGACCCGTAAAACGTATCCAGTCAGCGACTCTGTGGAGCAGGCATTATTCTCCTCAAGACACAATTCTTTAGGCGCTACAGACCTCTCCTGCCGCACCCGCTGCTCCCCTCAGCAGTGTATTTCGTCGGTCTGCCTGTCCCGTTCCCCGCTCTGGCTCTGGTGACTCCTCTCACCCTCCCGTGCTTCTGACTGTACCCAGCGCTTGTGTAAATAAATAAATAAATCTTTGGCCGGGGGGGGGGGGGAGACATAATTCTTTAGAAAACGCTTTGTAATGTAGTGAATCCCAGTAAATTAAGGAACCTATAAACAAGAGAAATGTACAAAGTCAGGTCATTTCTTAATACTCTTTACACCGGTAGTTTCCAGACAGGTCAAGAGGTAATGCCCCCAAATGAAAAGCAACCAAATGCCTGTTTTTAGTAAAATATCAATACAGGTTCTTAACGGCTTAAGGAAAGGGATTAAAACATCCAAACCAAAGTCAAGTTCAACGTCTGACCTCACCACGTAGCCGGCCCTGCCGCCCTCGCTCCTCGCGCCGCGTCCTCTCCGGCAAAGCCCCGCCGCCAGCGTCCAGGGCGCAGTTCTTTAAAAGGAGGCCACAGCAAACATCTTAGGGCTACCACTACAAACAGCCAGGGAACAAATCCTTTCAATCATAAACTCGCACGGTTCATGAAGTCAAAACTCCAGCAGTTCGGTATTTTCCCAGAGTTCTAGGAATTAAAGGTTAACGCGTCCTGTCAATGAATCCTCAGGAGAGGCCAGCGCACTCTCGTTCTTGTCGGGTCGTGGTCTCAGGTTGCTCAGGGACAGCAGCCTGGGAAGGAGAGGAACCCCCCCCCCCCCCCCGCTGGCTGGATA